ACATGCGTTTTCATTTATAAATGTCTGCTGAACTAAGCATGTATGATCTTATGAACTTTGCTACTTGTGTATACCTTTTCACAGCCTTTTTTTTTTTTTTTAAGAAAAATGATTGGGTGAAGGTCACTTAAAAAGAAAGCCAGGTAGACCTCTTTAAACAAGAAACACTTAGTTTGAAACTTAAGGTATGAGAAGGGCCCAGCCATGAAGAACAAGGAACAGCATCCCAGCAAAGAAAACATCATGTGCAAAGACCCTGAGGCTGGAAGGAGTTTAGCAGTCCAAGGAACTGACAGGTGGCCAATCTGGCTGGATATAATGAGAGAAGCCCTGAGGGGCCCAAAGTGCAGTGGGAGAAATTGGCAGGTGTCAGTAACTCCCAGGTTTGCAGTACCAGCCTGGGTTTTACTCTCTGTGCAGATGGAAGCCAATGAGGGTTTAAAAGAGAGAGAATTAAAAAAGCTCAGAGCTGGAGCCTCACCTTTACAGACAGGAAACTGACCCATAGTTGGGGTTAGGTGAGATCTAGAACCCCAGCTTCCTGATTTCTGGATCAGAGCCCTTTCCACAAAACAGAGCTCCCATCTTCTTCTCAGCTCACCGACCACACTCCACTTGGCTCCAGTCCTGCCACAGCAGAGCTGACTATACGGGCCATCAGCCTCAACAACTTATAGGCATGACCTTCTAGAGGAGTGGTTCTCAGTGGTGGGGAGTTCTGCTGCCAGGGGACACTTGGTAGGGCCTGGAGACACGGTTGTCACAACTTGGAGGGAGAGTAGCAGAGGGGACTATGAGCATACAGTGGGGAGAGACCAGAAAAGCTGCAGAACGCCCTACAATGCACGGGACAGCCCCCCACCAAGACTCATCCAGCCCCCAGAGTCTACAGTGCCAAGACTGAGAAACACCCAGTGAGGGATATAAAGCCTTCATTTCAAGTAAGTGCTGAGTCCTCGAGGAGAAAATCCCTCTGCTCAGGGGTGTAAAGGGGAGGGGAGGATCAAGGTCAGTTCTCAGCCTCCCAGGACCCCCTATCCAGAGAGACCAAGTCTAGAGGTGGAGTTTTAGGCAGAAGGCTTCGAGTCACCCCTCACATCATGCCTTCCTCTTAGGAAACAGAGTGGGGAGAGCAGCAGGGGTTATCCCTTCCTCCCCTGGCAAACCCCACCCCAGCCCGCTTCCCCACTTGAGAGGCAAGAAGTAGAGGATGGCAGGTTTGAAGCTTCCAGCCTTCATGATAAACAGACAGGCAGTCCTGGCCAGGCTGGGGGCTGCCCTGTGAAAGCCAGCTCCCCACTCCATGCCTTCAGAGCTGACCTGTGCCCAGCTGACCCTCAGGACTCCCCAGGCCCGGTGACACAGCAGCAAAACACACAGCACGCACCCCTCCTCCACGAACACCACCCGCCTCCTGGGCCCTAAGCTAGGAACCGTGGACCCACAAGCCCCTCTTGGGGAAGAAAGACTGCTCCCACCACAAGCCCTGGCTGCCCCCCTCCCGTGGGGTGTATGCGCGTCTGCCTCCTCCTCTAGACTGGGCACTTCTGGGGCACTTGAGTCCTCCGGGGAAGGCACATAGTGTACGTGCTCATTGTGTGTCTGTTGACAAAGGAGCCGGTGGCAGTGTCTGATCCAAGGGAAGATGTCATTCTGATCCAGTGAGTATGTACGGAGTGCTTCCTGACACTTCCTCAGCACCCTTGCTCAAGAAAGGAGCTGCCAAATCAGATGGCTGCGGAGTCAGCTAGGACTGGAGACACAGAATGTGAGCTGGCCTGGGCAGGGAAGCCCTTGTCAGGACCAGACGCTCACGCCCAGCGACAGCCTGGCCAAGTCCTGGGCTCAGCGGCCTGTCACCAGGTCAGCTGGTAACACGGTGCCATCTACTGGTGAGTCAGGAGAAAAGTGGCCCCAGTGTGAGTGAGTCTGGGAGGAGGGAGGGAGGGCTGGAGGGGACGGGGGAGAAGGGTCTTGGTCTCCCCACTTGGTTATCTCACAGCACCCACCCTAGCCCCTCAGTTCCCTGGGACGGTCAAGTCCATGTTCATATTCATTCTCTCTGACTCACACACACAGATATCTAGAGACCTACCCAGATAATACCTCCAACCCCTGGCCAGTACCCTGTAACATGCCAGGAAAAGAAAGTTCCAGATTGTAAATAGTAAGCCAGTGGTTCCTAAAATTCAAGGCAGGGAAGAATCATACAGAGTTCATGTTAACGTGTAGGTCATCACGCCCACCTTCTGAGATTCCACTGTGAAAGCTCTAGAGTGGGGTCCACGGTTTGCACATAAGTAGATATAGCCTATGAGGGCGGTCCCTTTCTCCTTACCACCTAAGACATCTTAAATGGCCAGGCAGATATTAGACTCTCATTATTTTCCTCCTTTCAAAGGACAAGGTAGGCTGACTGTGGTTCCAAAATGGTGTGGGAGGAGAGGCAACCTAAGGAGGGAGGAGGATTACTCAGATCTCCAAGTTCTCGTCTTCCTGGCCGCCCCCTCCCCACAATGGGGGCAGCAGGGGTGCATGGGGAAGGCAGGGCTGAGCTACTCAGACCTGTGCTGAACCTGGCTCCACCTCTAAACAGCTGTGTCACTCACACCCTCAGCCTCAGCTCCAGCACCTGTTAAACAGAGGAAGCTCCTACTTCATTTCTTTTTTTCACCCTTTTGGCATGTGGGATCTTAGTTCCCCAACAAGGAATTGAACCCCCACCCCCTTTATTGGAAGGCAGAGTCTTAAACGCTGGACCACCAGGGAAGTCTCCTACTTCAAAAGAAATAGAGCAGAGGAGACAAGGTAAATACCCTAATGCTAAGGAACACTTACAAACACTGCATAAAAAAGTTCCATGCTCCAGTCTCTTCATCTGTAAAATGGGGATATTAATATCACCTCTGGCTTACAGTTGTGAGAATTAAATGAGTCAAAACCAGTGAAGAGCTGACAGCGCTGCCTGGCATTTAATAACTGCTCCTACCACCTTGATGAGGGAGGCACAGTTACCACCCCCATTTTATAGATGAAGAAACCAAGACTCCCAGAGGTAAAGCAATCTGCTAAGGGAGCAGGCTAGTAGGTGGCAGCCTAGGGGTTTGAACCCAGGCCCTGTCAGTGGAGGACAGCCTTGAGCACTCAGGTAAATGCAACCACGTGAGTGACCAGCACAGGATTCCAGAGTTCCTCTCCTGAGCGCCCTCAGCTCCCCACGCAAAAGCCCTCCCCTCCCCCACTCCACACAGCCCCCCGCCAGGCCTCCTTCCCAAATCAAAGGCTGAGTTTTGTGGTCCAGGGGCTAAGACTCCATGCTCCCAATGCAGGGGGCCTGGGTTTGACCCCTGGTCAGGGAACTAGATCCCACATGCCACATGAAACCACATGCCACAATGAAGACCGAAGATCCCATGTGCAGCAACTAAGAGCTAGCACAGCCAAGTAAATGAATAAATAAATAAATTTTAACAATTAATGAATATTTTTTTAAAAAGCCAATGGCTATCTTCAAGTCTGTTTGCTGGCAGAGATGTTTCTCTCACTATTGTTCAGTTCAGCCAACACCACTATATGCTTACAAAGTGCCGGACACTGCTCTGGCTCTTGGCAGGTGAGAGACAAAAGACACAGGATCTCTGCCCTCCAGGGACACTGAATGAGTGCTCCAGAGGAGGAAGGGAGCAAGGGGTGGATCAGGCAGGGCTGAGGACTTCCTGGAAGAGGTGGTGACCAAGCACATCTTGAAGGCTGAGTATCCCTCTACTTTCTGGGCCACCACCCCCTGCCCTAAGACCCTCAGACACACCTGACCAAAGGCTGCTAGCAGAAACACTCCACCTTCCCAATCTCTCAGGCAGTAACTTTCTCGGAAATGCTCCTCCATGAGACAGACAGACAGACACAAGAACACACATGCCTACCTGCTGATGAAATTCCTCTCTGTGTGCCAAAGGCCCAATTCAAATCCCAATCCAACCACTTGTACAGTCATCCCCTGGGCAGGTCTGCACTCACCTCCTCTGTGTTCTTGCCACACACCTGTGACTCTAAGGGGGCACTTAGGTCCCAGCAGGTCACACACAGAGACCACACACACACACTCTTATATATGGTGGAAAGTCAGTAAATATCTGAAAGTGAATGAGTTAGTCACTCAGTCGTGTCCAACTCTTCGCAACCCCATGGACTGTAGCCCGCCAGGCTCCTCTGTCCATGGGATTCTCCAGCCAAGAGTCCTGGAGTAGATTGCCATTCCCTTCTCCAGGGGATCTTCCCAACCCAGGGATCAAACCTAAGTCTCCTGCATTACAGGCAGATTCTTTATCATCTGAGCCACCAGAGAATCCCCAATAAATATCTACTGAATTCAATTAAATGGGATGGTTTGCCTATGTGCTTACAGCCTTAGGATAGCTACACGGGCTAAAATGCTATGACCAGTTCAACAATATATGACATGATTCAATTAAAACTGTGGAGTGAAAAGGGGCCTCCTGGCTGGGTGACCTGGAAAAAGCCTACTTGGCCTTCACCCGCCATCTCCTCATCTGAAATCTGTGGCTAGTCATGCCTGGTGGGTAACATCCATCCCGGGGAGGCTGTGAAGATTCAGCAAGGTCACACTCATGAGGCACCTGTGCACATCCTGGGGCTACGTGGAGTGTCATCTACCATCACCTGGTCCAAGGGCACATACATATTTGCAGCTGTCAATCGTCTGAGGGCAAGCAGACAGGCTCCCAGCAGATGACACCCCTACTCAGTGCTTTCCAAACCTCTTTGATTATGACCCATAGCAAGAAACATGTCTTATGCTGGAACCCCATATATACAAATTGAACACAATTACAATAAAAGTCCATGGAACACTGCCCTTTATGCTGAAGGGTGCATACTGATACTGTGCTTTCACCTTCTCCTTCTATCTCATTTCCAGCCCGATTCAATAAACCACGGAGAGGGGGCGCTGCAGCTGGAAAAGTCATGCCCTCACTCACCCAGGGTGTCGGAGCCGCTTTCCACGGTCTCGTTGACCTTCCTCGCAACTCTGGCCACGGCCTCACCCATCTTCCTCAGCATGCAGATGCGGGTATCCTATCACCAGCCACTAGGCTGGTCTGCTGCTCACAAAGGAACCTGCGCCAGGGAAGACACAGGGCCATGAAGTACCCACCCACAATCAGCCAAGGACCCACCCCTGACCCACCTTACCTGAGGACCCAGGCTGCAGGAAGTCTGCAGGGAGGGCCCCAGGCCACTCACCTCCTCCTGAGGGGCCCAGAGCCCAGGCGACATCTAGCTCGGCCTTCAGAGCACCTGATCTATCCATCAGTCCGGCCCTACCAGCTTCCTGGGAGGGTTAACATGTGTGACCTCGCCAAGACCTCAACCCGTGTCCAGGCAGGTGTGAGGACTCTGGTGTGTGCTGGCCTGTGACTCACTGAACTGGCAGGGCAGTGGGGAGGAGGCAGGGTGCAGCCAGGTGCAAGGAGAAACACCTGTCCCTCCATCCCACAGCCTCAAAGCCCTGTCCACTCCTCCAGTTCCCAGTTCTCCTTACAAAATCTCTGCTGGGTCGGAGCTCACCGTTTAGAGAGTGGGTGGTCTCTAAGAATTCCCTCCCCACGAGGCAGTAAGGAGGGAAGGTTACAGTTTTAGTCGCAGACCTAACTGTCACCCTGATTCTGAGTTTATCGGCAAGACCCCAGGGGAAAAGAAATAGGGGCAGGAAAATGAGAAGAGAGAGACTGGATCACTGCATAGAAGAGGGTTAAAGAAGGGTGAGGATGGGATTTCCCTGGTGGTCCAGTAGTTAATACACCGTGCTTCCACTGCACTGGGTGTGGGTTTGATCCCTGGTCTGGGAATTAAGATCCCACATGCTGTGTGGCAGAGCCAAAAAAAAAAAGGATGAGGACACAATCAAAATGATCAAGTGTTGAAGACAATAGGGACTCAGGAAATGCCTCCAACTCCTTTTTATTACAGAGAAGGAAACTGAGGCAGAGAGACTCAAGGAAGCTGGCCAAGGTCAAACAAAGTAAGTAAATGGCAATAATCTAACTGAACTCCACATTCAGTGTTCTCTTCTTTACAAAAGTCACTCACATCGCCAGTGGGAGCACCCCATGGAGAAAATGAACTTGAGGCCAAGGTCGCTGCCCTTTTTTGCTCCTGGCTCACAATCCCAGATCCACAGACAGCTCAAGGAGCTCTACTGAACACATCTGAGAGTCAAAGACAGGACAATGTGAAGGGCAGAGAGAAGCGGGTGAGGGTACTGCTCAGAACTGCCAACAGACACCAAGGAAAAGTCCACATGAGCTCAACTGGACATGGAGGCCCAGGCAAGCCCACTCGGCTGCTCAGGGAGAGTCAGTGATGAGTTCAGTGCGTGCTTGTATCTCGCCAAGGCTATACACAGGCCTAATGCCCAGCTCTGGCGTTTCTTAGTTGAGAAGCCTTGAGAAAGATTCTTAACTAGTCCAGGCCCCAGTTTCTTCATCTGAGTAAGAGATCTAGTAATACCTACCACCCTGGGTTCAAATGATGATTGAACAAAAAATACATACCTTTCTAGATCAGGGCTTGGGACACGTAAGTTACTTCCTAAACGCTAGCTGAAAGGATTAAGCAGGACACGTGCAGATGTGACGCCAGCACCTAATCCCAGTTAAATATCCATATGACTCTGAACCAACAAGTCAGTGGAACTCATCTTTAAGGAATGAGTAGAACTTCTCATCTCTGTACCTCCAGGAAATCTTCCCAGATTGCCCCAACCCTCAGCACTCTCTCCTCCCTGAGTTTCAGTAGCACTTAAAGCCTTGGCACAAACCAGGGTTATTTATGAGCTTTTAAAAATATACATACTTGTCCCCCCAATTGGCCTGCAGGCAACTTAAGGCAGGGAGCAGATATATACTGTGCTTTCCCCCTGCACTTTATACCACATACTAAGAAAATGCTCAGTTGGTATCCCCTAATGGTGACATCGATCAACAGCCATCATTTGGGTTTCAAATCTAAATACAAGTCAACCAACTCTTACAACAAAGATACTATCTAAATAGAAGGGTCATGAGTCGTAACAAGGCCAGGTGGGCAATTTGCATAAAATGTGCTAGGGTAGAACAGAAGGGAATAGTTCAGACTATGGCAAACTGAACTCAACACCTTCCCCCTGCTACCTATAAGACCATCCTCCTAAGCCTGAGTCACAGCAATGCTGCTGGAAACTTGCGGACTCAGTTGAATGCCTTTATGAATGAGAATCCTGAGGAACCAAGAAGAAAGGTAAATCAGCTCAGTTCAGTTCAGTTCAGTCGCTGAGTCGTGTCCAACTCTGCGACCCCATAGACTGCAGCACGCCAGGCCTCCCTGTTCATCACCAACTCCCATAGTCCACTCAAACACATGTCCATTGAGTCAGTGATGCCATCCAACCATCTCATCCTCTATCATCCCCTTCTCCTCCTGCCCTCAATCTTTCCCAGAACCAGGGTCTTTTCCAATGAGTCAGCTCTTCACATCAGGTGGCCAAAGTATTAGAGTTTCAGCTTCAACATCAGTCCTTCCAATGAAAACCCAGGACTGATCTCCTTTGGGATGGACTGGTAGGCTCTCCTTGCTGTCCAAGGGACTCTCAAGAGTCCTCTCCAACACCACAGTTCAAAAGCATCAATTCTTTGGCGCTCAGCTTTCTTTATAGTCCAACTCTCATATCCACACATGAGGACTGGAAAAACCATAGCTTTGAGATGGATCTTTGTTGACAAAGTAATGTCTCTGCTTTTTAATATGCTGTTAAGGTTGGTCATAACTTTCCGTCCAAAGAAAAAGCGTCTTTTAATTTCATGGCTGCAATTACCATCTGTAGTGATTTTGGAGCCCGGAAAAATAAAGTCAGCCAGTTTCCCCATCTATTTGCCATGACGTGATGGGACCAGATGCCATGATCTTAGTTTTCTGAGTGTTGAGCTTTAAGCCAACTTTTTCACTCTCCTCTTTCACTTTCATCAAGAGGCTCTTTAGTTCCTCTTCACTTTCTGCCATAAGGGTGGTGTCATCTGCATATCTGAGGTTATTGATATTTCTCC